TTTCTAAGCATAAATGACAATCAACAATACAAATCTAACACACCTCAACTTTCCATGTGGAGGAGAGCAGCTCTACTCTGAGCCCCTCGAACTGCTGCGCTCTTCACCCTGTCTCTAAGGGAGAAGCCAGCCACCCTTCAGAGAAAGCTCATTTCAGCTCGTCTGCACAGCTGAAAAGAGCAGAAATATCTGTCCATAGGAGTTAAATAGCAATTGATCTTTGAATACATGTCCTTACTTTAGTCATGTCTTAACTGCTTCAACTGTGGGGGCATTCAGAGGGTAAAACTCTTTCCAAATATCCTGGGATTTCCTTACCTGGAAAGTTCAGCATGCATAAAAAAAAACCAAACAACTGCCCAAATACTTGTGGAGCAGACTGTGTCTCTTTCAGCGTCAGCACTGTATGAACCGAAGGTCTCTGTTTCTGGGTCAGGCGTGGACTCATCATGGGGCTGTGGAACTCTCACACTTCAGTGGGAAACATCTTGGGCTCTCTGATTGCCGGCTACTGGGTCTCCTCCAACTGGGGCATGTCCTTCATCGTACCAGGGCTCATCATCATCATCATGGGCGTGGTTTGCTTTCTCTTTCTCATTGAGCGTAAGTACAGCTTCATCATGTTTTTCTGATGAGTGTTATAAGGAGTTTCTTGTTTTTCTAAGCGCACACATTCATTGCTCAAAGAATGCTTGCTATCAAATGAAATGAATGCATTTAGATTCAGTTAGCTGAGGCAGGCTGCTTCCTGTGATTGTCTTTTCAGTACGTTGGCTCTTTGAAGAATGGACTTTATAGCTGTAAATGGATTATGTTGTATTAACCTGATGGCACTGTTTTCATTCTTCAGATCCTAATGACCTAAAAAACATCTATACACAAAATTCATCTCTAGGCAAGACTGTAAGTACACAATTTTTGTTTGTTTTAATTTCTTATAATGAAGACTAGTTTGGTTCATTAAGCATGAATAATATTTCAGTGTAATATTAACTCTGTCATTTATAATTAAATGTGGAAATGAAGGAAAAAGTATTTTATTTTTATTTGCATTTGCATTATCAATCAGCAGCCCTGTTTAGCTGTGAATGTCTCTCTTTGATTAGGTCCCAAGCAAGAGTTGGAATGGAGTGAATGGACACACAGAGGTGTATCTACAGTACAAGGACAACAAAAATCAGGTGTGTCTCACAGTTTAACTTAAAACTGAGATTATTTACTGTACTTACTGTAAGGCCACGCCTTATTCCATCACACATCACATGGTCATGATGGATAACCAATCCTACGCACGCACCACTGAACTAATCACCAAGTATGTTGTGTGTGTGGACTGCATGTACTGTATTTCCAAACATCTATCATCGATCAGACTAGAAGATTACAAGATTATAAGCTTGTAATCTTTTTGCTTTACTCTAGAACAAAATCAGCCTTCTGTCCATGTTCAAATAAAACTTTAATACTTTGTCAGTGAAAAGTTTCTAAGTGGCACATTTCAGACTGTTGAACAATAAACTGTACAGGCCACATTTTGGAAGCAAGAAATGAATTTCATGTGTGCATCTAATAGGACCGATTGTCATGCAGCACCACAGAAACATGTTCTATTATGTCATTGTAATCCATTCAGGTCTGCTATTATTACAAGGATAGTATTCAAAACAGGAAGGTCAGTTCTTCAGAGATCTCTGCTGGTGGTCAGAGCTTTGGATGCTGGGTGAAATCACTGCTAGGCTGAATCCAAATGTCTGGACATGAGGAATGACTGGAGCGCTGAAGAATGCTCAGGGTGAACTCGTGTTTTAACCACTCTACTAAGGAGGCAGAAAGGGTCAGCATTAAAGGTGATGGGGGGTTGCAGTCAAGCACACTCTGACTGCAACAAGGAGCTCTGACTGATGACCATGATTTTTTTTTTAGTATTAATGTAAGGAGATGTTTGAATTTAAATATAGTACTTATCCACATCTGTACAGTGTCATCAAAGCGAGTCCTACCCTGCAGAGCACAGTGTGTCTGCACAGACTTAGTTTTAGAAAGCAAGTCTGCAAATATGAGAAAAATCAGGACATTCGGATTCAGCCGCAGGGTTTCTATTTTTCTCCTTTTTTTCTCCTTGTTTGGAAGGTAGTTGGGCGAGGTTTTCCAGCTCCTGTTCTCTCAAAACTTATCAGTGGGAGTTTTATCCTTAGGTCCTTTACATGAATGCACTGCTGGCAAACATCTACAGTATAACACCAAACTGCTGACATAATCGCACAGTTATACTTCACATACATGGTGACACAACGTGTGTTGGTCTGTACCATCTGAAGGGGAGAAATATTCCTTGGTTATTTAATTAGAAAGGAGAATCTTTCAATAATTGGTCTTAAATTGCAGGTTGACTAAGTTCACTCTTTTCCATTTATTTATTTATTTTTGTAATTTTATTTATGAAACAAAAGTCCAGTCTAAGTACTGTCAGTGCTGACCCCTCGGGGTCCCCTTTGTTCTTCAGCTGTCCGGTGGTCTGGGTATGGGTACAGATCTTTGCTCTGCTCTCTCCCTCAGAGCTACGACACAGAGCTCCTGTTGCCTAGAGAGAGCGAGCGCATCCCCATGCAGCCGGTTGTGGTGGTGAAGAGTGAGTCGGAGCCTTCTGCCATCAGCTTCATGGGAGCGCTACGGATACCCGTAAGTCACACATGCAAACCTGTGTCCATCACCTGCGTCACTCTGATGCTTTCACTGCAACAAAGTCTGACCAAGTCTCCTATTAGGCAAAAGTCTTGTGATGTTGTTTTAAGAGTGATGCTCTAAGTAAGAGCAGGATGTGTAAGATTGTTGTGTAAGTGCTTTAAGATAGAAAATCAATTCAGAAGAATCATCTTGTTTAGTTGCTCTGGTTTTTAGATCTCTCAAAGTGAGAAAGAAACAACACTGAAAGGCTTATATTTGGACAGCTTTTGGAGCGATTAGCTTGCAGTTATCTGAGTTGCAAGCTGAGGCAGATCTAACGTAACTTATGAAGTAAGTCTGATTACTGTGTGCGTTTGTTTGTCTGCAGGGAGTGGTGGAGTTCTCTCTGTGTCTGCTGTTTGCTAAGCTGGTCAGCTATACTTTCCTCTTCTGGCTGCCGCTCTACATCACCAAAGCAGGTGAGGAGCACATAGAAACCCGTCAGGCACGACTTCATGCATAGATTTTGACTGTGGATTAAAAAAACAGATTACATTGACAGACGTCCAATATGTCTAAATTTATACGTTGGCTATCTGAAGCAGGACACTGAATTCTGGTTAAATTGGCAAAAAAAAAATCTGCAAAAATATTGGCCAACTGAGAGACTGGAGTAGTGTTTACAGCAGTATTTATCCTGTCAAAAAACATGACATCAGTCAATAGAAACATTTGAACTTCATTTATTGTCATTGTACAGTGAAATTAGCCAACAAGACCACAAAGGTGCTAGAAAGTGACAAGTTTAAAAACGACAATATAAAAAAACCACTATTTACACAATGTATAAGATACAAGAACATTGTGAGGGCGTAGATAAGGCATCATTTAATAAGTAAGGGTGAAGGAGCTCTAGTCATTAAGATGGTGAAACTGTTGGGTAGGATGATAATTGCACATCTGCCAGCATATTGCACAGGACACACACAGCTGCAACAGAATGACTGTAAGGGAGGAGTCTGCTCACACACACACACACACACACACACACACACACACACACACACACACACACACACACACACACACACACACACACACACACTACCATAAGTTCAAAGTTTGGCTACTGTGCTGCAATTTAATACATACTAGATGTGTTGTTAAAAACAATAGGTAATACTGATAATGTCCTGTAGGTGTGAGAGCAGACAGTCAGCCAGGTCCTTACATAAACTGAACAGTTTTTATGAGCCTGGTTTGGTCAACAAAGGACAGTTCACACTGGAAAAAGAGAAATCTATAGGACTGTGTGAAGATGGATTCATTTTGGTTTCTTTGGGTGCTGCTTGAAACTTGTTTTTGTTACTCAATGACCAATGAACTTATGAATGGGCAAGGCATTAAAACCCTCCACAGCTGTTAAGACTCGTCCCAGAGTGTTGGTCAGGGAAACAAGATTAAGTTGTTCTGAAGATGAATGCAAGCCTCCTCGACTTCTCATTGTTTGTGCAGTACAGCCAGCAGTGGCAACAAAACGTTCTTTCAGTCCTTAAACATGTAAACTGTGGTGGACCTTGGGCTTCATGAGTTACTGTGACCTTCTGGTTTCATTTGTAATTAATCCACAGAAACATTGTCAGCATGTAATATAACATAGTTAAAGACTTTTCTATTGTCTGTTTGTAATGTAGTAACTGGGTTATGTAGATATAAAACCAGTATGTTAAACTGAAAGAGGCTGATACAGAGTGTGGCAGAGTTGGACAGGCTTCTCACAGATCACGGAGCAGATGTTTTGTCCTCAGGATATTCTACAGTGAGCAGTCCACTCATGTGTCAGACTGTCAGCAGACTGCTGAAGAAGGAGAACTGACATAATAGACTCTGTGTTTGTGTGTTTCAGCTCACCTGGATGCCAAAAAGGCTGGAGATCTGTCCACACTGTTTGATGTGGGAGGAATTGTGGGTATGTGCTGTTTGTGTGTGCTCGTCTGTCCCAGTGGACCTTTAGCAATGCTTGGGGACAAAATTGATGTCCCAAAGTTAGAAACTGTGTTTGTTTTTAATATTATATTCAGATTTGTGATCTAGAAAATGAAGCCATGCAGTTTACAGAGCAAAAGAACAGAGGGACATTTTCCCGTAGACATGCACACTGTGCATACACAGAAAGAGTCTCTCCCTGCTGGCCTTCAGACAGAATGCAGGTTTAAAATCTATTCAGCTTCACTTTTCAGACCTGGAAGCTTCGTGCATGCTTTGCATGTCTGTGGTTTTTGGTCTGTGATAATTAACCCTGATAGAGACCAGCTGTCAGGGTTTATGAAGCAATGTACAACATGATTACCATGAAGTATTATGATGATTAACGACTGAATGTGTCTTTCTGTCGTATAGGGGGCGTCTTAGCAGGTGTGATCTCTGATAAATTGGGGAAGCGAGCCACCACCTGTGCAGTCATGTTACTGCTAGCTGCTCCTACAGTAAGTCTTCACTGTACTGCAACAGTCAGGAAACATCGTCCACTGTGTGCTGCAAGACTGTGAAAACACTCTTTGATTATGAAGCATGCACAGGGGAGATTAGACCAGGTTTTTGGCTCCCCCTGCTGTGCAGCACTTGACAAAGTCACTTCATTAGGTGGTGCAGGTTGGCTCCATTTCATAGGTGCTCAAAACATTCTTCAGTTTTTGGCTGATTGTCTAGAAAGTATATTTTCTGTCCCAGTACATCCTGAAGGCACACTGTCAGGTGGAGATCTGGTGACTGCAGAGACCCTTTGAGCACAGTGAACTCACTTCACATGTGAAAAAACTAGCAGACAGAAACTGTCTCAAAATACCAAGTCTGTGCAGTTTTTTGTTGTCCAAACTTTGGACAGTAAATGTAGCCTCAGTTTACTGCTGAGAGGAGTGACCCCCATCTGACATCAGCCATCATCAGCGCCGAGCAGCCAACAACCACGCTACGTTCACAGACACTTATATCACCTCTTTTCCCTTTCTGATGCTCAGTTTAAACATCAGCATCTTGACCTTGTCTACATCCCTAAATTGAGTTACTGCCATGTGATTGGCTGTGTATTTGCGTTAACTTGTTGAACAAGTGTCCCCTATAAAGTGTCCAGTGAGTATAATTGCTGAGGAGCAAAGATTACAACACATTTCATGCTATTTTTTATAGTAAAAGGCTTACATGTAAGAGTACGAGGTGATATTAGACACGTAAGTGTTAACTGTCCTGTTTTATTCTTTTCCTGCAGCTTTACGGCTTCTCCATGATCAGTGAGTTTGGTTTGGGGCCAATGATTGGTAAGAACCAGCTAGCACTGAATGATAGTTAATCAGTAGGTCTGGAACAATTTTCTGTTCCTTAATTGTAATACATGTAAATGAAAGGATAAAGGCATGTTAGCATATGCTTCAGTAGTATGGCTCTGCAGTAAAAGGTGCAAAAGCGTCCTGCAGTCCAGACCTGTCATGTGTTGTTTGTTCAAACAGAAGCCAATCAAATTCCTCTCATACTGCAGGCTTACTCCTGGTTCCCAGCTTACTTAACAGTAGAATGGGAGGCAGAGCCTGCAGCTTTCTGGCCTCCTTCTGTGGAACCAGCACCCACTTTGATTCACGAGACGGACAATAAATAAATTCATATCAGCACTAGAGTTAGCTCCCCCTTTGTCTCCAGGTGCTGAGGTCCGTACAAATTTAGTCACATGAGCTGGTTGCATTTATTACAGTAGGTTATCAGTCAGCGATTGAATGTCCAATCAAATCTAAATAAACACAAGTGACTTGTTTACTGTGGCATAAATGACGACTCTTGATTATTCCCTCTGAGCTGCTGATGGTCAAGGGAAGTTGGCATTATGGGATACAATGTAGTGCCTTCAGAGCAATATCAGCTCACATTTACTGTAATTACATGAACACACATTCTAATGAAGAGAAGTGCACATGCTAGTAAGACACTACCGGCAGGTTTGTGAAGGACACAAACACCTCAGCCTGCATGCATTTGTTTCCAGCAGTAAGATTTCAGTGGCTGCAGAATTTCCATTCCTTACAACCAGGATAAAACGTCCTTAATCTGTGTGCTTCAGGGATGCTGTTAGTGTGCGGAGGTCTAGTGAATGGACCGTATGCGCTCATCACAACTGCAGTGTCTGCTGATTTGGTAAGGATGTTTAACACTACTGTAATTCCAGTGTGATTGTGTTTGTAAATCATCATTTATTTCATTTTAAAATCACCTTTCTCCCCTTGTCGTCTTTTCCTCTGCCCCCCTTTTTTCTATTTGGCTGTAGGGCACCCACAAGAGCCTGAAAGGCAACGCCAGAGCACTGTCTACAGTCACAGCCATCATTGATGGCACAGGATCTGTAGGTCAGTACTGCTGCTCAGCTTATGTTTACGGCTTGTTTGGATGAGAATGAGGGGTCTTATTAGGGTCCTATTAGTGATATGTATGATAGTAATAATTGTTAATAATTACATTTAACAAGTGCATGAATCCTCAGCCAAGAATTGATTTTAAATTTGTGTACAATGTAGTAGTAGTTCAGAGTAATGAGGGCATCTCATTGGCTCAGGCTAAACAATGAAGCTCTGGCTTTGTTGGATTTGATGATAATAAACGATACAAATATCAGTTTAGTTACCATTTAATGATGATTACGTTAGCATGCCTTGTGTTATTTTTACTCATTTATAATCATCCCATGTAGAAATGTGAAGAGAGGATTCATGTACACGAATAATCTTGTTCATGTTTGTGATGTCAGGCGCAGCACTCGGCCCGCTGTTAGCTGGACTGCTGTCTGCAGGCGGCTGGGATCAGGTCTTCTACATGCTGATGACTGCTGACTTTCTTGCTCTGTTGGTAAGGCCTTTAACTTGCATCATATAAGAAGATTACAAAATGACAAAACGAAAGCAGAAAATTTGCACCTATGTGCACATTAGCACAGAATACTGGCCTCTTTGAACACACTGATAGTTTTCCAGCTCTTTGGTTCAGTCACTGCTGCTGTAAAGGTTTTTTGTAACAACAAGCAGCTGTTTTCAGAAAATCCATCAGTCACTACCTGCCCAGCAGCAAAGAGCAGACAGATGCAGAGACCAGCTGGTGAAGCAGTGAAAAGTCAGATATTTAGCTCAGGAGCTAGAGTCGAGAAAACTAAGACAATGTTGTGTTTTTACCCTTGTTTCTGATGAATAAAATGAACTGAATGACGAGTGGTCTTGCTTGCTATAGAAAAACAGATGCTCATACTAATGTGTAACCTTGCAGCTTTTGCTACGGCTCGTGACAAAGGAGCTGGCCTCATCTAAATCCCATCCTATCTCCACTGTAGAGTAAGTCCTCCTGTTATCTCGATCATGATTATACTCAGCCTGACTGCTGCTTTTGGTGCTGTACTGTAATTCTTGTGTATCTGCATTAATTTGATGTTCAAATGTTGGGCTGCTGGGTTTTTTTTGTTTGTTTTTATAACAAAACAGTTATAATACACTGAGAAGTACTTCAATGTTTATATTATATCTTTCAAACATGCAGATAATAAAGTTGAATTCTACTCATATGGATTAAATACAACATGATGAGTGTGAACACTGGCTTTGCCCCCAAAAATAAATAGGCTTAATCTACGATCACTATGATCTTTTTTTAGTTTACAATCAGAATCGCTCACATGGAGAAAACAATGCTTCTGATTGTGTTGGTAGTCACATGACTCAAAGCCACCATGGAGCTTCATTCCACTCATTGTAGCTAATGTAGTATCAGTGGGCAAAGATGACAGATGGTAATGAATGTAAAATGTCTACAACAATCAGATGTAAAACTCTGTTTTAACAACGAAAGAGAGCCGCAGATTAAGAATAACTAAGGATTAAATGCAGCGTGGGACACCAGTGCATCATGGGAAGCCCTACCAGACTAGGTCCATTCCAGTGTTGCTACAGGAGTGATCGGGACACCTGATCCAGCCCAAACTATATGCTTTATCAAAAAGGGAATTTTTAAGCTTAATCTTAAAAGTAGTGAGGAGAGGGGTTTGAAAGCCGAAGACTCTGCATCCAGTTCTACTTTTAAATTTCCTGGGAACCCCAAGTAAGCCTGCAGTCTGAGAGTGAAGTGCTCTACTGGGGTGATACGGTCGTATGAGGTCTTTAAGATAAGTCTGGGCCTGAATATTCAAGAGCTTATATGTCCAGGTTTCTTAGGCAGTCACTGTATTACTGCATGTTTAAACTACAGCAGAGGACAGACTGATGTTTATAATGGCAAGAACAGACTGCCTTATACTAGGCTGAATTTCTTTTTAAAAAATCAGGGATGAGGGGAATATGAGGGCTTAAAATGGGAAACCACATCCTCTAAGAGGGACAAAGTCACAAACTCAACCTGAGTAAAGGCAGCAGCACAGAGGGGTCAGGAGAGCTGTGATAAGAGCCCTGGTGGTGGCAGCCTTTTAATAAAAACGCTCAGGAAATTATTGCATATGTCAGGAGAAGCTTAAACAGACATTCTGTGGAGCATTAAGGACAGAGTCAGTAGTGTTAAATGACACATGTGAGTTATGGCCTTTGGAGGAAATGATATTTGCAAAATATTTCTTTTTTGGCTTTTTGATAGCGTTGCAGTAATGACACCGGCAGTCTTTTAAAATGTAAAACGACACCTGCAGTTTAATCTTTCCTATCTGCACTGTGCTCTGCGACATTTCCTCCTGACAGCATGAGTCATTAAACCAAGGCTCAGGTTTAGCTTTAGCTGTCTGGTTTTTAAATGGAGCCGCAGAGTCCACGATGGTTTGACAGCAAGAATAAAAACAGGAACTAAACTCCTTTCAGTCAGAATGGCCACAGAGCTGATTGAAAACAGCAGAAAACAAAAAAGGGAGATAATAACCTGAAGGCCAAACAGGAGCACAACATGTAACTGCAGCATGTGTAAAACCAACAGGCCTGCCTGTGACCAACATATCCATGCTCATAGAGCCGGTACAGAGTGTACCAGATTTAAAAAGTCAGTGAAGCACAGAAAGTTCTTTATGAAGTTCTTATTGGGGGGGGGGCATGTTTCAGTCACACACAAAACATCGAGATCATGGGAACTGAAAAAGTCCAGAAGAATAAAAGTTTTCCTTACTAGTGATCTGGTGTTCACCAGGCAGGAGCTGGAGCTTTGGCTTCGGAAAGCTGAGAAACCCGGTGCAGCAATCTCAGGTTTCAGAGATATTCTCATGCAGGTTTAGCCAGAGCATAGCCGGCAGGGCCGGAGAGTTCATTACAGCTGATCATGGGTACCAGGCAGGTATCAACAGAATCCGGGGAAATGGAGAGGCACAAAACAATCTTTGGAGCCATCCATGTGCTGGTCAGACAACAGCAGAATCATACCTCAGGGAAAACCTCACCTTTACCTGTTGAGTGCTCAATATATAAACACAAGCAATCTGTGTGAGTGGCAGAAGAGCAGCCACACACACCGACATCATCTTAGTGGAGAATGAAAATGGCAGGCATGTCTTCAGTTAGACATGCCGAATATCCAGTTGTGGCCAAAAGTTTTGAGAATGACACAGATGTTGGGTTTCACAAAGTTTGCTGGGATGAGTTTGAGTTCAGTCTAATAACAGATAAAATGATGCGTTTCAGCTGTCGTTTTCATTATCTACATGCATGTTAAAGTCACCCACAATAATCATTTTAAAATGATTTGAAACTCTGAGTAAGAACCAGGTGGACGATGGATTACAGCAAATAAAACTGTTTTTCCAATTTTCTGGCTAAGATGCACAAACTAAGTGTCAGGCTTTCAAAAGATTTAAAACTCTGTGTGTTTGGTTGGTTTGGGCTGGCTGATGTTCAGGAGGTTTATACAAGAACTGCACATCTGAAATAACTCAGACATAATTTAAAATTATGTTGCTGATGTCTCTGTGCCAAATTCTTCTATGGTCCTGTAAGATTATGGAAGACCAGCACCAGACATTATACACATTAAAGATCTTATTCTCTTTATTTTTCTTATTTTTTTGTGTGTGTTTGGTTGAGCTTATACTTGAGTTTCTTAAAAACCAGTCCAAACTTGGTTCATGACTGGAATATTCTTGTCCTTGTACGACTACAGTCAGTGATCGACTATGTGTTCTATCTCGGGGCTGAATGTGAACATAACATGTGCAGATTGATTTATTTCCTAAAAACAAACCAGCTGTAATGTTCCCTCATGGGCAGGAAGTTCACTGGTGTTGACTGTAAAGCTTAATGACTCAATTTATCAACACAGCGTTAATGTTTGTCTCTTATTCACAGGTTGAAGGAACACTGAGCACTTTGATTGCACTGCGTACACACCTACACGCAGAGTGCAATGAAACCACTTAAGGTTGATATGGATTGTGACTGGACTGCCCTGACAGATGAAACTGATTGTTAATAAACCAGCGTGTATGCTTGTGTGCGCCTACAATCATGCTGCAGTGCTTTACTGATGAAGAGCTATGACTGAAGCTGCAGCTGCTGCGCTGAGCAAGCAGCGCGGCACACAGTTTAAAAGTCTCATGTGCACTTACTGTACTTGCTTAACTTCCCAATGTCTATCTTTTCAACCTTACCTGTCCAGTTAATTTAAGGGGCTATTTGTAATTGTGTGCCTTTTACAGTGGTACCTAGCTTTGATAGTTGTTTTTTAAAGTTATCAATCACAGAATTAAGAAGAGCTTCATCAAAGCTGGGGTCGTTGCCGGGACTAAAAAAACATCAGACCTGCTACAAAAACAGCAAGCATGCAGTTTTTACACTTTACTTCCTGTGTAGTTCTGTAGCAAATATACAGAAAACATACATGATAGAGTCTCAGGTAACACTGTACTCGCCCAGGACTTCATGATAAAAAGCACTTTAACGATTGTAGTTCTGCCAATTAGAACCACTAAAACTGGAAACACCACAGGTTGCTAGGTCTCTGTGTCCTTACTGTCTTTTTTGTATGAATAGTGTTTTATATTGTTGGTGTTTGTATTGGCAAAATTTTCATACAGTTCATTTATTTGGTGCCATGTGAGCTGTCTGTCAAAGTTTGAGGCTTATGAGGAGGACTGATATTTTTATTTTTATTGTTGTACTGGGATAAATTCCTATACCTCTATCCAAAACCTGGACAGAACTACTTCTTAATATCGTGCCTAGAGCTGTTAACTTTTTTTGAAATTTAATTTAATCAGATAGCAGTCATCTAGAAACAGTGATGCAGAACTAATTCCATCATATCTGTTGAAGAGAAGAAGGAAAACAAAGACCAGCTCGTTGAACCAAAGAGATGATGGGATTGGTTTAGTTTACATGTGTATTTATTTTGAAAATCATTTTTGTTTCCTTTTCCATTGTCCTGTGGTAGTCTGTGATTTAGTAATAAAATGAATGTAGCTGATCTCTCTCTCTCTCTCTTTCTCTCTCTATACACACACACACACACACACACATCTGTGTGGTGATTTGGGGGGGAGGGTTATTTATGTTAGATGAATAAGACTGTTTCTGTTTTACGGTGGAGAGAATATTTAAAGAATATTTATTGAGAAGGACTGAACACTACATTTAATTCTTGTTCTCGTGATCTTATACGCATTAAAAATTCACAAACTGTATATCATGAATTAAAACATTGATTTATTTTTCTGCAGATTTGTGCTTTAATCATTAAGAGTGATATCTTGTATGTATTTAACCTATGAAATAGGTTTATGTAACTGTATTTTAAAGGGGATCTTGGTGGTACTCTTAAGACAATATCCTTGGAACAAGACCACATGTAAATATTATGTGTCAGTGGTAAGATTAATACTTGAGACCTTGTGTGCCTTTCTTGGTTTTTGCAGGGCAATTTTTTTAAGTTTCCATGGAAATGAACTTGGTTTGAAGTTGATTTATGTAGAGAAAACAAATAAATCATGTGCTTTTTTCACTGGTTGAACCTTGTGTTGCCTGTTTTGTAGTATGATACTGCAAGCCAGCTTTTACAATAATTTGTACATGATGTGGACTCACCTGGAAGTGGCGAGTGTTGTGGAAATGGTAAGCTGACAAGGAGAATCCCACTCAGTGATACATACAGACTCTAAGTTACACAGAAGCACATGAACAATAGAGAAAAGCCAAAGCTACATGATGATCCTTGAAATTAGCTAATAACACATTTATTCCATTAGATCCACCTTTCAGGCTTTGATTTCACTTTTCTTTGATGGTTGATGGTTACTACAAAGATGAGTACACACAAACAAAATTCAGTCCATTGGTAATATATGAAGGAAACTACAGTGAGGAAGACTAAGATACAGTATGGTGGAAGCAAGAGGCGTTTATCTGCCCACATATCTCTAAGGCCATTTCAAGCCTCATAGCACAAACAATCAGGCCTAAATACTCTCAGCTGTTAAGGACTAAACCATTATTTTACTGTCAGGCAAGTTTTCCCAATTCTAACCTTCCCCCAACATTGTACAATACACTATTTGAATAAATAAATAGACATTTTATTATTTTTATGGGATTGAATGTTTTTTATTTCACCTTTACACGTTAACAATGTTACAAAAATAAAACCCACTAAAAACCCCATGCACAGAGAGTTCCCACCCTTGGCCTCTCCCAGAACCTTTAAATGGTGTCCGGATCCCTGGGGAAACATTTGGGAGAGGACACGGAAAAGGCAGGTGAGTGATCACACCTCAACAGCAACATTTTGCACCAACCTTTACCTCTAAGCTTTGTACACACATTTGCCTAAGTTTTCCTTGTGTGTGTGTGTGTATATCTATATCTATATATCTATAAAAAAAATAAAAAACACCCAGCACGCCCCTGCGGGCGGTTTATCCTTCAAGCTCGGGTCCTCTACCAGAGGCCTGGGAGCTTGAGGGTCCTGCGCAGTATCTTAGCTGTTCCCAGGACTGCGCTCTTCTGGACAGAGATCTCCGATGTTATTCCCGGGATCTGCTGGAGCCACTCGCCTAGCTTGGGAGTCACCGCACCTAGTGCTCCGATTACCACGGGGACCACCGTTACCTTCACCCTCCACATCCTCTCGAGCTCTTCTCTGAGCCCTTGGTATTTCTCCAGCTTCTCGTGTTCCTTCTTCCTGATATTGCTGTCATTCGGAACCGCTACATCGATCACTACGGCCGTCTTCTTCTGTTTGTCTACCACCACTATGTCCGGTTGGTTAGCCACCACCATTTTGTCCGTCTGTATCTGGAAGTCCCACAGGATCTTAGCTCGGTCATTCTCCACCACCCTTGGGGGCATCTCCCATTTTGACCTCGGGACTTCCAGGTTATACTCGGCACAGATGTTCCTGTACACTATGCCGGCCACTTGGTTATGGCGTTCCATGTATGCCTTGCCTGCTAGCATCTTGCACCCTGCTGTTATGTGCTGGATTGTCTCTGGGGCATCTTTACACAGCCTGCACCTGGGGTCTTGCCTGGTGTGATAGACCCCAGCCTCTATGGATCTTGTACTCAGAGCTTGTTCTTGTGCTGCCATGATTAGTGCCTCTGTGCTGTCTTTCAGTCCAGCTTTGTCCAGCCACTGGTAGGATTTCTGGATATCAGCCACCTCCTCTATCTGCCGGTGGTACATACCGTGCAGGGGCCTGTCCTTCCATGATGGTTCCTCGTCTCCCTCCTCTTTCTTGGGTTTCTGCTGCCTGAGGTATTCACTGAGCACTCGGTCAGTTGGGGCCATCTTCCCAATGTATTCTTGGATGTTCGTTGTCTCATCCTGGACTGTGGTGCTGACACTCACCAGTCCCCGGCCCCCTTCCTTCCGCTTAGCGTACAGCCTCAGGGTGCTGGACTTGGGGTGAAACCCTCCATGCATGGTAAGGAGCTTTCTTGTCTTTATGTCAGTGGCTTCTATCTCCTCCTTTGGCCAGCCTATTACCCCAGCAGGGTACCTGATCACGGGCAGGGCGTACGTGTTGATGGCCCGGATCTTGTTCTTACCATTCAGCTGACTCCTCAGGACTTGCCTGACCCTCTGCAGGTACTTGGTGGTTGCAGCTTTTCTAGCGGCTGGTGGTTGCAGCTTTTCTAGCGGCCTCTTCATGGTTCCCATTAGCCTGCGGGATCCCCAGGTACTTGTAACTGTCCTCTATGTCTGCAATGTTGCCTTCTGGTAGTTTGATCCCCTCAGGCTGACTACCTTCCCTCTCTTTGTTACCATCCGACTACACTTCTTCAGTCCGAATGACATTCTGATGTCATTGCTGTATATCCTGGTGGTGTGGATCAGTGAATCGATGTCTCGTTCACTCTTGGCATACAGCTTGATGTCATCCATGTACAGGAGGTGGCTGACAACTGCTCTATTCCGTAGTCGGTATCCGTAGCCAGTCTTGTTAATGATGTCACTGAGGGGGTTCAGGCCTATGCAGAACAGCAGTGGGGACAGAGCATCTCCTTGGTAGATCCCGCATTTGATGGTTACTTGTGCTATGGGCTTGAAGTTGGCCTCTAGTGTTGTCCGCCACATCCCCATTGAGTTCCTGATGAAGGCTCTCAGGGTCCTATTGATCTTATAGTTCTAGGCATTCCAGGAACCAGGTGTGGGGCATTGAGTCATTGGCCTTCTTGTAATCAATCCAGGCAGTGCACAGGTTGGTCAGTCTGGTCTTGCAGTCTCGGCTGACTGTTCTGTCTACCAGTAGCTGGTGTTTTGCACCTCTGGTATTCTTGCCCATCCCTTTCTGCGTCCCACTCATGTATTGACCCATGTGCCTGTTCATCTTAGCCGATATGATGCCTGACAGGAGCTTCCACGTGATACTGAATCAGGTTATTGGTCGGTAGTTGGAGGGTAACCAGTCCCTTCTGGGGGTCTTTGAGGATCAGGAATGTCCGGCCTTCGGTTAGCCATTCTGGGTGTCTCTCGTCCACTAGCAGCTGGTTCATTTGTGCTGCCAGATGCTCGTGGAGTGCAGTCAGCTTCTTCAGCCAATAGGCGTAAACCATGTAAGAGCCGTGTACTGTCCAACTCCTCATACTGGAGACCCTTTCTTGGATGTCTGCCACTGTGATTGTTACTGGAACCTGTTCAGGAAGGTTGCTGTGGTCTGCCCTCAGATCAACTAACCACTTCTCGTTATGGGTTGCATCCTTCTCCCATATGCTCTTAGAGTATTGCTCCGTCTCCAGCCTTAGAGGTTCTGTTCTCTTATTGTTCCCTTGCCACTGAGAGTACACCTTGGCTGGTTCTGTGGAGAACAGCTGGTTTATTCTCCTGCCTTTGATCTCTCTGGTGTGCCTCTTCAAGCGGCTGGCCAAGGCTGTGAGTCGTTGTTTAGCAGTTTCAAAGGCCTCAGGTATGGATAGCTTGCTGTACTACTTAGGCACCTTTTTCATCGCACCTTTCTGCACCTCTGATAGTTGGCTAACCTCCCTCCTTGCTACCTTGATCTTAGCTTCTAGCCTCCTTTGCCATGGAGGGAACTGCTCCTTGTGGCTGTTCAACTTGTAGCCAAGCATCTCACTGATCACTGCTGCCGTACTGTAGATCAGCTTGTTAGTCTCGGTAGTGGTGGCTGTAGGTATCGTCCGTAGTGCTGCATTAGCATCATCTAGCAGACCTTCTGAGGGTACTTCACATAGTCTTGGTAACCGGCTACGGGGGATCCAGGTTTCATGCTTGGCCATGATTTTATCTTTCAGGTCAGTTCCTTTCACACTCAACGATCCTTCTCCTAACGCACTTGGGGCTTGGTACCCAATCTGGCGTCCTGGCTCCCCCTTGCCATAGCATTACACTAAATTACATTTACACAAAATGTAATTTAGTGTAATGTACATTTTGTACATTACACTAAATTATTAGCCTATTTCTCCATACCCACACAATACTAAACCTGAACTGAATTTTCTTTCTTTCTTTCCTCGTCAGTCTCTACCTGTGAGAGCAGTCTCAGTGACCTCAGTGAGATTGGAGATAGACAAGCTCTCCCCCTCGTCCCCAGACTCTGCTTCCTACATGGAAGACGAAGGAGGTCCTTGAAGCAGTCCTTCCACTGCCTGGCAATGTTTTCTGGCAAAGTCAGCAGCAGTCCACCCGCACTATACACTGTGCAGGCAAAGCATCGCTTTCCCCTCCTGAGTTGCCTGATGGTTTGCCATGATCTCTTCAAGGGTGTCCCGAAAGTCTTTTTCAAGTTCTCTTCCCACACTCGGGTTTTTGCTTTAGCCACTGCCTGAGCTGCGTTCCACTTGGCCTGTCAGTACCTATTGGCTGCCTCCAAAGTCACACAGGCTAACCAAGCCTGATGGGACTCCTCCTTCAGCCTGATGGCTTATTTTATCTCTGGCGTCCACTATTTCATTCGGGTTTACCACCATAACAGACACCAACCACCTTGTGGCCGCAGTTCAGAGAAGCTTCTTGAGCAGCAGAGATGCTGAACATGGTCCCTTTGGACTCAGTGTCCACAGTCTCCCTCAGAATGCTATCGAACCTCTGACAGAGGTGGACCGCGGACCGGGGTCTCTGCCAGGTGTCCCCAGGGCACCCTCACTATACATTTAGGTGCGCCAGGTCTGTGTCAACCATCCTCTCCTGCCACCTGATACAACTCACCACCAGAGCACCCCGCTCAGGGACTCCAAGAAGGCCAGTACTCGAACGCAAATAAGCTCAGATGACAGTAAGGACATGTTCCCTGATCTGAAGCCGCAGGGAACAAACCCTCTCATCCACAAGTAGCTGCGTTAACAGGGTTGGGCCCTGATAACCCTATCCCGATCAGCATGAACTGTTCAGTTGATCATCTTCTCGTAGGGGTTTTTTGAATCAGTCTTTGTCTGATCCCTCACCCAGGACCATGTGCCATGGGAGACCCTACCAGGGGGCAAAAGCCCCCAGACAACATAGCCCCTTGGATCTCTGGGACATACAAACACCTCCACCATTATAAGGTAGCGA